ACCCATTAAAACTAGGGAATTATCGACTATAAGCTTGTTGCATCAATAAGAGAAAAAATAGTGAGATTGATCTTGAGCTAAAAATATCAAAATAAGCAAGTAATTGTGCAATTATGAAATAATTATGGGGGCTTAGATAACTAGTGAATTTGAATCACTTGGTATAAGCTTGATTGTCGAATCACTCATAAATTAGGAGAATCATCACATGCATAAATTGTTGATATTGTCAAGTAAACTAAACCAAATTTCAGTGGTGTAAGAATTTGGAATTGGAAATCAACCTTAGGGGTACATCATAGGGAAGGGAATAAAAGGAAACAAATTTGAGAGCGTGTGAATCCCACAAGAGAAGAAAGAGTATATTTGACTTTCAAGGTTGGGAATTGAACCAACTTGTGAATGTACAACATTGCACTTGATTCTTCACACATACACACACCTGTTTTGCATTGGATAAGTAAGGATTTGACTTTTACATTATAACTTTTAAGCAGTTTATAAGCTTGATATAATATTTTCAATCTTGAGTCATAAAGGAAAGATATCTAACTAAATTTGTTCTATGTAAGTTTGTTTGTTTAGTTTGTTTGTGTGATCATTAATCCAGTTCTTTTTCTTTATATTTGCCTGAGGACTAACAAAGTAATAAGATTGGGAGTGTTTGATTAGTATGTTTCACTCATCACATTAATTCTATTTAATCTTAATATTTCATTTGATTTTTAGAGTTTTAGGATATTTTAATGTTGTTTTATAGGTTAGGCGAATTTGTGTGAATGATGTAAAATTTGGAGAAAAGAGTGATGTGTCATGAATCAATGAGAAGTTAATGCAGATTTGGTGAAACTCGATGATTGAAGGCTAAATTGAAAAAAGAAGTGAATAATGACGAAAAATAGTGAACTCCAAAGTTTGAGGACTCAATTACAACTTTTCAATATTTGATTCGGACCACAAAACAACAATTGAAGATTGTTAGGAGTCAATCGGATGTAAGTAAAAGTAAAAAATGAGTAAAATATGATCAAAATATTTTATCAAATCAATTTTTAACCGTACAAGCATGAACCATATTTTTAGTCTGAGACCCATTTTTAACTTAGTAAACGTTCGAATTGAAAAAAGAAGAAGCTATTTCTAGTAAAGTTGTAGACATTTAAGTTATCATTCCAACGCTCTTTTAATCGCTTTAATTGGATATTGGAAGAGAAATTTATGATAAAAATACTGAATGATGTGCACAGTTGGAGGAGTAGAGGTAGCGCCTAAGCGGCCACTCTCGAGAAAAATGATAGATTCGCGGCTTAGGGTCTTTCAAGTTTAATTCATCTTTTAAAAGTCCAATTTCAATCCAACTCGTCCAAGGACGTCAAAAGGGCATAAACGCCAATTTAGATGTCACTTTTCAAGCACAATTTAACAGGGTAAGAAGCAAGAAATCAAGCAAGGAGGAAAGAAAAACATCAAAGAGAAGATTGATTAAAGCTTCGAAAGAGTTTTTATTTCTTTTTCTCTTTATTTTATTAATTATGATGTTTAGATTTCTTTATTCTATCATGAACTAAACTTCTAATCTAGAGTTTGATGTAACAAAACTTGAGATTATAATTTGATTTTATTACAGTTATTTATATGAGATTTTTCTAATTTTGTTTATTTGTGTTATTTATTCTTAATGATTTCAATTACCTGATTAATAATCGAATGATTTGATACTTTAAATTTTGGTACTCGATAGAAGAAAATTTAGGCATGATTTAAGAATAACACCCTAGATTTTATAGATTTCGAGAGAAAGTATAAAATTTTTAAAGCATGTTTCACATAAGAAACATGAACTTGATAATTTCTAAATTTTAATTCGAAATTGAGATATTGAAATTAAATTATAGGAATATTTTTTACTCAACACTCGCGAGAGGGAGGAGAATTAAATTAAGGTTCTTCCTTATAAACTTCAGAAAATCGATTAGAAATAATTATATAATTGAGAAACATAGTAGATAATTAGGTCAAATCGTGACCCTAGGCTTTCTAATATTGATTTATTTCTTAAAACTTGCATTCATTTGTTGAATTCGTCACAAGATTCACATTTAATAGTTCAGAATCATTGATTTCATAATTTGATTGTCTAGATAAAATAGATGCTACATAATTGTAGTAATTAGGCCCTGTTTGATTGGCCATATTTTCCTAGTAAAGTGGAAAAGAAATTCTATTTTCCCACTTGTAAGCCTGTTTGATGTGTCATATTTGGCCTGGAAAATCTTTTCACATTTTCCCCTCACGTGACCTATTTTCCCCCTAATCGTTGAAATAGAATTCCCGTCTCAGACTTGGTAAAATATTTTCCACCAAAATCGGGAAAATCGAACCCCCACAAAATCGATTTCACGGCATTTTCCCCAAACCTTCTCTCGACCATTGTCTGATTCGTCCTCTCAGGCAGCACCGATTGCTGCCGTTTTCCAGTTGAACCGAGCCGACGACTATTGTCTGCGGTCGTCTCTTACGGCGAACCATGCGTCGCTTCGTCCGCCGTATAAACAGGTAGGTGTCGTAGTTTTTAGGGTTTTTTTTTTTGGTTTCTGATCAGCAATTTCATCATGGTGTGTCGATGTAGTTGTTATTTTTGGATTTTCTTCGACCTCCTGGTACTTGAACTCCGTCTAAAGTTTCTTCAAATAAATGGGTATTTGCTCACTTATGTGTTGTTTAATGGCGAAATGTCGATCTCTGTTGTCTCTCTTGGATATATTTTTTATAGTTGAACTTTTGCTCAACTTATTTCTGGGTTTGCCCAGAATTATCTATACATCTTGGCTGGCCTGTTTCCATAGGCAAAAATTCACCCGTGCAGATGCTTTACCCAACATTGGATACACACACTTGACTCACTGCTAGATATCTCTACCGATTTTGAAAAACCAATCAACAAATCTCTCTTCACTCTTTGTCTATCTTCTCTCTCTCTCTCTAGTATTCAAACCGTTTCAATTTTATCTGTGCATATACTTCTTCTTCATTTGGGATTTTACCCAATTTTTTGGTGTTGCGAGGTGAACCTTTGTCGGTCACAAAATTGAGAAGCCCTCTATTTAGTTTTCAACTTTCCTGAGCTGGGCTCTTTAAAATCCCATTCAAGATAGAAGTTCTCCACGTGATCTGGGCTCTTTAAAATCCCTCTATTGTCAAATTTATAGCTACTATTACATTGACATTTCATATTGCTAGCTTCACTATGTCTTCTGGATGTGGCATTAGTCAGTTCATTTATGCTTTGGTCAAGTAGATGTACATATTTTCATGAGACTACGATTAAATTGTCATTTAATTGCATTATTGAATCAAATGTTGTAGGCTTCTGGTATTTCTCATGTCTTTCCGTCAATTCCCGAAACATCACGTTGACACTTTTTGAACATTGTTGTAACTACCATGGATACCTCAAGAAACCAACATCGTCGCCAACGACAACAATTGGGTCTATTTTGGATGATGGTCACACAAGCAATTGTAATATATAATTCAATCAGGCGTCGGTACTAGTGATAGAATTTGTCATGATCTACTTAGGATGAAGATAGC